AAAAAGAGAAAAAGATTAGACGAGATAAGGATTTAAGGTGTTCACATACGGTCATCTGGGCGACGGCTTCGTTGGGAGCCCCGGCCAAGCCAAACAACACAGAGGTCACCAAGACTTCGGCTGTCGTCTTCATATACGCGGCCCACCATGTCGCACCAGCTAGGGCAGCGGTCGTGAAGATGTAGGTACTGCGGCGGCCGTATTTCTGCGAGCACGGGATGACGAGGATGCAGCCAACTGCGAGTCCGACCAACTGTACAGCTTGTGCGTTTGTCAGGTCAGAGTAAGATACATCCATTTCTGCTAGCATTTGAGACCAAAATGTTGTCTGGGTAGAAAGCCTACGGTATTTCGCATCTTGGTTAGTTCCTGTCTAGCATGAAATCAGCAAAGGACAGAGCGCGGATACTCACAAGGTGAACTCGGCAATAGTCACCGCCGTGACAAGCGCGAAATTCAATGATTTGCGCCATATCGGCCATGCCTAAGACAAACATCAGTATGCTCGTAGCAGGCAAGAGAAAGCTGCGGGTGGCTTACTAGAGGATCGTTTACATCTCCCGAGGGCTTTGGAACCAGAATGACTCCTCCTTCGTCTGATAGACCACTGGTGACTGCTTCTTGGTAAATACTTGTGAAAAGCCAGATATCATACAAGTGCTCATATACGCACATGAGAGAAGCTGGACCGTCCCAGGCGGCAGAATTGGACCTTCAGCCATGCCTAGTACCGCGTGATCAACTCGAAATTGATTATAATCTTGATATGATGGATATATCCAGAACCAATTTATGCATTTATTTATAATGCTGCAAGACAAGATCAAAGAGAATGGGTTATGGTCATTGAGTTTGCACAGAGTTCCTCTTATACCATGGCAAGCCCCTGGGGGACCTGGGCAGCTGGGCCTATCTTGCCTACGAATGATCTCGGACAAGCATCTTTGAATGATACTTGTCAACCTATCTTGCTGTATCAAGGGTATCTGATAAACACAGCAAAAATGTCTGCCTTTGCTTAGGATCGTCTTTGATATTCTTTCACAACCCTGGCCAAGCTGAACTTGATGCTTGGTATAGTACAGCAAGTACCCATCCATCCTCAGTATAGCGTATAGTGACTTTGCGGGGTCGGCGCTAGCACGTTTTCGGTATTTTTACCGCAGCGACGATAACAGCGTCCAATGCCGAATCAGATGACGTACAAGAATGGTGAATCAACAGTCTGGACCGTTTGACGACGACGGAATCATGTGTCAAGAAGGTTCCGCGACCGCTTCCCAAGGTCAAATCTTGTGTGCACTAGAGGTTGATGTTGAACAAGGGTGATTCGGTAATGCTTACCGAACCCATGGGGTTTCGAATTACCGTTTTCGGCAGGTCCAGCAAGCAAACCCATGACGGTCGGTATAAGAGCTGGCAGCGTGACTTTACACGGCGCCGTATACTTTTTTGAACACAGCCTTTCATGGGAATACATCGAGTGGATACACAAGTAAGCATGTCCCGCAGCAATCAAGCTCTTCATCCATTAGGTACAGTCAATGAGTCCTGATCTCTTGATCCGTAACCATTCCATTACTCACAGCTTATAGACCCTCTATCAATCGAGGAGATTGCCACGGCCTCTGGCTTGCTTCGCGAACATGCCGCAGGCCAGCCATTAAAGTTCAACTGTGTGACTCTCCGCGAGCCTACACGAACTGAATACAATGCGTGGAAGGCAAATCAAGCTGTGCGGCCAGATCGCCGTGCCTATGCCATCGTCCTCAAGGGAGGGTCGGCCGAAGTTGCCACTGCAGTGGTCAACATCAGCAAACGCAAAGTGGAAGAATGGAAGGATACCGATGACGTAGCGCCAACTCTCACCTTGGACGATTTGGATCATTTGGAAATCAATGCCAGGAAGGATCCTCGTGTCATTGAGGCATGCCGTGAGGTGGGCATTACCGACATGTCCAAGATCTATGTCGATGCTTGGGCTATTGGATTTGACCACCGCTGGGGCTTCGAGCGCCGACTTCAGCAGGGTCTCGTGTATTATCGCAATTCTGCCTCCGACAACCAGTATGCACACCCTTTGGACTTTTCCTTGGTGGCAGATACAGAAACAGCCGAGATCCTGAGTGTCGACATCCGTCGTGTCAACGGAGAGCGAACAAAGGTGCCATTGATCGAGCACAATTATCTGCCCGAGTATATCGGCGCCAACTACGCAGTCGATGTGCTGAGGCCTATCGATATAACCCAGCCCAATGGTGTATCGTTTCAGGTGCGCGGAAATGTCTTGTCCTGGGCCGGTTACGAGATGCACATTGGCTTCAACTACCGCGAGGGCATTGTTCTTTCCGATGTCAGCATGTATGACCATTACCAGAAACGTCAAAGAAAACTATTCAACCGCATAAGCGTCGCCGAAATGGTCGTTCCCTATGGAAACCCGGACCCGCCTCATCACAAGAAACACGCATTCGACGTGGGCGAGTACGGCACCGGCTTGATGAGCAACTCCTTGGAGCTGGGATGTGACTGCAAGGGTGCCATTCACTACATGGATGGCATTGTAGCAACGGCCAAGGGCGAGGCAGCAGTGATCAAGAATGCGATTTGCATCCACGAGGAAGACAATGGCATTCTCTACAAGCATACTGACTTTCGTGATGGCAACGTCATTTCTGCGCGCGATCGTCGGTTGATTATTTCGCAAATCATCACTGCTGCCAACTATGACTATGCCTTTTACCATATCTTCACTTTGGACGGCACATATAAGATGGAAATGAAGCTCACGGGTATGCTTAATACGTACGGTCTGCACCCGTCGGAACAGGCGGCTCCGTTTGGTGTTGAAGTCGCCCCTGGTATCACGGCTCATAACCACCAACACATCTTCTCCCTGAGAATCGATCCCGCAATCGACGGACCCAATAACTCGGTCGTGCAGAACGATGCTCTCGCCTCAAAAGAGCCAGTGGGGTCACCGGAAAATTACTACGGCAATGGCTTCTCCTGTCAAAAGACACCTCTGAAAACTCCAGCCGAAGCCGCCGTCGACTACAATCACGACACTAGCCGAACCTGGGACATTATCAACCCAAACATTCTCAACCCCAGCACCAAGAAGCCAATCGGATACAAGATCCTGAACAACAACTGTCCCAAACTCCTCGCCAGTCCAGACAGTGTCGTCAGTCAGCGTGCCGCCTTTGCCCGAAAGGCCCTTTGGGTGGTGCCCTACCAGGACTACGAGTTGTACCCGGCAGGCGAGTTTGTCTGCCAGTCGACAGGCCAGGAGGGTCATCAGCACAATCCCACGATTGTAGACTGGGTTGCGCGTGGCGGCTCGATTGAGAACAAGGATATTGTCTGTTACATGCAGTTTGGCCTGACGCATTTTGCACGTACGGAAGACTTCCCCATCATGCCTGCGGAACCTGTCAGCATCACATTGCGTGCGTCGAGCTTCTTCGAGAAGAATCCCGCCTTGTGGGTGCCTGCGTCGTCTTTGAACAAGGATAACACATCAAGGATTGCTTTTACACAATCTGACTCGGCCTGTTGTCAACGCGAAAAGCAAAGTAATCATCCAATGCCTCGGCTGTAAACCGATAGCTCCTGGTAGAGAGAAAATCTTTCATTCTCTAAAATAAATTGTAAATTCTATATTTCGTGTCCACTAGTTTCATGTTAGAGTAATTCACCCAAGATAGATGTGACGGTCCCTTCAATGGGCGGACACGAGAATGTTCATACCTTTGCTGACCCAGTCAGGCCATAAAAGGCTAGGCTGGAGATCTCTGATTTCCCAAATATGGCGGAGCGCGGCCGTGGTGTTGCCTCGGTCAACAAACAGGCCTCTCGGCACACGCAGCCTATTCTCAATGATTCGCCGATCCTCTTGGTCAACCGCCTCACAAGCAGCAATAAACAAGGGGAAAACAATGGCGTACGAAACCCGTGAGTCCTCGTGAATCTTGCTGATCTCGCTCACGACGGTGCGCACCTGCCGCCGGATGACTGGTGCGGTGAATGGAAGCCCGCGAAAACGTGTATAAAAGAGTATAAAACTTGCAGCGTGCATGGCTTCATTCAATGACGCCACAGACGAGGGGTTGGTAAAACACCCAGGGGCTATAGTAGCCATTAGATCTGCTTCCCGTGCCCGGAGCAACGTCTCCTCAACAGCCAGGAGTTCGTGTTCGAACTGGTCCGTAGTGCTATCATTGGAGCCATGTATCTTGTCCTTGTGGCGTAAGAGCTGCATATCGGCAAGATGACCCATTCTGAGCAAAGGATTGACCAGTCGTGGCGAGAATGCGTAGAGAGGATGGCTGATCCAGTTTGCGAAAGCCGGTGAATGGTTTGCATCAACTTCATGATGGCCCATTTCCACGGCATCAATCATCTTGTCGTTGAGCAGACGCGAGGGCGGCTTCAGCGAGCACAACGTCGCAATCATGGTCCAGCGAAAGCCAGTGAGGATGACATCTTGATAAGTGCGAGGAATGGTAGGCTCCACTTGCTGCTGTTGGAGGAACTCCATGGCCAGCTTCGTGGCCAGTCGAAGGCAATCCTCGCCCTGGTCGGCAGCGCACCAATACAACAGACAGCAGGCGGATATCATGGAGAGGAAACTCCAGCCGTCGGCTGCTTGACGTATAGCCAGCTGAGCGCGAAGCCCTTCATACGCCTTCCGCCAAGCAGCCCCCATTGTTCGATTCAAGTCCCAGTGTCCGTGTAGGGCTGTATACTGAAAGGCACTAAAGCACAGAGCGGCTTCGCGGAGCGTGGCATTTCTGAGGGCCATTTGTGGAATTGTGGCAATAAATGGATCTTGGAAGTCTGGCATGTCTTCCAAATCCAAGCATAAAGCATTCATCTGCAGCGAGTGCAGGAAATAGTTCCATAAGAATTGTCGTTTCGGAGAAGCTTGCAAGTCATCTGGCCACGGACTCGGACAATAAAGAAGTGTCGGTTCTAGTGACAAAAACGCTGATAATGGCGTAGCAAACGTGACCATATCCGGATTGATATTAGTGGTGGTAGTGAGAATAGACTTTGTCATATCTTGTGTTTCTACCAAGCTGTAGTCGGACAGGCCATCGACTGTTCCAATCATCGGAGAGTCCAAGGAAAAGCCATGCGGGGAAGCCGAGGATGATAAAGACGATGGCACGATTTCTGCACCTGGAACTGCATCGACCTCTGCAAGCACCATTGTCGGAGCTATTCCCGGCTCAGGAACTGGGCATGGTGGAGCAGACTGGCTTTGAGATAAGGTTGAATCATCATCACCAAAATGGTGGTTTGCACTCCAGGTGTCTGCTGATCCCGAGGCAGCATTTGCGGGCGAACGAGTCCATGACTTGAAAATCCGCGGTTGGCATGCCACGTTATGCTTCAAGCATTCAGAGCAATTAGGTTTTTTATGATCGCACTAGACGTCCCGCAAGCAGTTCATGAGTGGTGAGCGATGGTTGAGCCAAGATGAGAGCTTATAAGTGTAGCCATAGAATCGATACGTACCTTTCTTTTCCTGCACACGCACTACAAAAACATGTGTTAGCAATTGCCTATTCGGGTAGATTAATGAGTTTGAAGCAGCTCTTTTGAGCAATTTATCTGAATATGCTCTTTTGCAGCACTGATCTGGGCAATGTTTGCTTATGAGATAACCTAGAAAAGGAGAGAAATAACATCGGAAGTTGCTTACCTGCACGCAAGCCCCTCCCTTGCGTCTGTTCGCGGGCATATGGAAGAATACAAGAGTTGAAAGCAATGACCAAAGCCGCCGATGATCAAGGCAACAGTCGCTCACGTAGGGATCGTCAAGGATTGCAGGTTTGGTGAAAATCTGGTTGTGGAGTTGAGTTACAGAGTACAGTGAGGAGACAGAAATTTGGGGGCCCCTGTAGCTACTAGGTGGGCTGAAAAATATAATATATACCACCAATCCGTAAATTTTGTGGGGAGCCAGTATAGTCGCTTCCCCACGATCCTCCTCGTTATTGTATGTTATCGTATTCCGTAGTGGAGCATCCCTGAGTAAACTGATAAAACTAAGCCGATGACCCACCTCGATTACCGCTCGCAAATACGACAAGGATATCTGCGTTTCTCTTGGAAGTGACTGTCAGTCACGTAGAACATAGCTCCATGGCTCTTTGTTGAAAAGAGAGAGGACAGGGAGGGGGGCCCACGCTACACTTGCTCCCAAAACGTTGGGTCTCCGAGCGTTGATAAGCAGGCTGACAGAGATTACAAAAAGGCAAGTAAAGTGTACAAGAAGTCCTACTTTCGTCTTGGCTTGCGTGACTACCCACAAGACGAGAATTGCGCCAATATGCAGGATAGCAGCCAAGTGGCTGCTAAATAGGAGATGAATGTTGTAATTGAATGGCTAGACAAATAGATGACGCCTGAAGTCATACCAGCACGTCGAACATCAGATCAAGTCGGTATCATTTTTTTCATGATCCATCTCGGGATATGTGGCATTACTCGAAGCAATCGACCCACGACAGACCGTGACAACCGGTCTTCTTAGTCTGGGATTCGAAGCACGGTCATTTCGTGTGTTGTCCATACACCTTCCTATGGTCGTCATTGATGCATGAGTTTCTGCATGATATCTTAAAGAGATTGAGCAGCTCTTGGGGAAACTCGTTGGAAGTTCGGAAGTTCTCTTATCAAAAGGTTTGATAGCAGCGAAGCTGCTTTCATTCGAGCAACACGTCGCTTGGGATCTTCCATCAGCACCATGCTTGGTTTTATGAAATATTGGCCAGAATGCGTCAATTGAAAATCCATGATCATATCACTATACCTGATTTTCAAAACTGTCAGCCAACTGTGTAAGCAATATCATACCATCCGCGTGCCATTATGCGGCGTGCATATTCATGAGTAGCAGAGTCTAGTACGAAGGAATGCGACCTGGGAGGTAGCATGGGAAGGCTGAATGTGAGAGGCTCATACATGCCTCGATGGCAGATCTGCGGCGCAGCAGCGGCGGTCGAAGAGCTAGTAGACTTCTCCTATTTCAGCCTTTTCATCTGGAAGATCTCTGCTTGCCACATCACAACTCACGCTGCCCTGGTCATTCCCTACTCCGTAACAGGCGTTTTGTCTCAATCACACTTGTAGTATGTTAGTCTCAGCGATAGATACCTCTCTCGAACGAGCGATTGGTAGGCTCGATAAGCTGAAACAAAAGCACATGCACATGCGTAGCTCGTCCTCGTTTTCCAGAAAAGGCCCTCCCCCGAGCTTCTAGCATGGTATACAACCTCATAAGAAACCATTATTATCTCAAATTACTTGGCAAGTTCTTTTCTTTTCTTGAGCCAGCCCCCCC